ATTCCTGGAAGTCTGCATCAGTGTGACATCACTAAGAGTACCCTGCAACAGAAGGGTGTGCTGCTGCTCCTCGAGGTGGGAAGAAGGGGAATTTTTCCCAGACAGATGCTCTCCTCCATATTCTAATAGCAAAACTCAGTTTGTAAATTTCACTATACATTTTTTTGGTGGGGGAAAAGAATTTTCACTAGAGATAAAATTCACCCAAGCTCAACGTCTCTAGCACTTAAGTCCCTTTAGAGCAGTGGTTCCCCAACTTTAACAACCCGTGAACCCCTTTCATTAAAATGTCAAGTCTCGCAAACCCCCTCCTAAAAATGAATATTTCTGGGGATTTTCTCCTTTACCTGAGTATAAATTATAAAAGCAGTGATTTTGGAAATATAAAATTTGTTTTTATGACATGCTTATTACACACTATTTATTATTAATTGTTATTTATCATTACAGTATTTTTATTACATTATGAAAACGGTAACACTCTTCCAAGATCTCACTTTTGTAGCTTGTATCACTTTGAATAAGCCTGTTATAAGACAAGGATCCTATGTTTCATCAAGGAGTATCAGATGTGAAACAGCATGAAGGTATTTAAGAAGCCAACTCAAAGAGTTCCTCCTACACAAGCAGTCAGGTCTTGAGCAGTCCAGGCAAACAACACACGTTACAACAAAGCTTAAACTTGTTCTTCATAATAATTTTAAAAAGAATACTAGCTGCCTGTTTAATTTTAAAAACAGCGAAAAATATCCACCTCCCTCTCCATTTCTTGTAAAGAGTCTTGAAGTTTAAATCTCTTCACTGTGATAGATATGCTTGCTTTGATCTGCTTAGCCCTTGGAAGTCCAGGGGCTCCGGGCTGCTGGCCCCGTGATGCCCGGGGTCCCTAAGGACAGCTCTGTCCACCATTAGGGAATTTTTTCCCGAGAACCCCCTGTAACATTTCACAAACCCCCAGAGGTTCACAACCCCAGTTTGGGAACTACTGCTTTAGAGCTTAAATGAGACTTAAGTGGTGCCTAGGTTTTTCTCAGGCTCTCTGCAGAGAGATGAATTACACCCTGTACTTACGTACCATATACATCTAATCTCTATATATTTTATCAAGGTATATACAAAGTTGTCGCTTTTTACTATCAGCATTGTCAGTGACACAGACTTCATGTGAATTTTGGGACCAAGGTTTAGCAACATATTAGATTTTTTCCCCCCATCAAGACAAAAAAAACTAGTTGCAAATGGAATAGTTACATTAGCTCTGAAGAAGCAGCCACTTAAATTAATAGGGCCTGATTCTGCAACCCTTACTCACACAGAGTAGCATTTACTCATGTGAGTGGTACCATGAAAATAATTGGAACTACGCAGAGTAAGGACTGCAGGATCAGGCCCATAGCTGGTTTACAGATTGTCTTCTGCTAAAAGGCTCTGTTGCGGGCAATATCTCATAATGATTGGTTGTTTGCAGCTGCATACAAGGAAGTTCTTAAGTGGGGGATTTCTCAGTGGAAGTTCCCAGCTATCGTCAGTCATAATCAATATAGGAGACTGACTGAGCTGCATTTCAAAATCCTGTTGATAAAGCTTCCAGACTACATAAAAATTGCCTATCTTGTTATTGAAGAAAGTGACCGGAGAAAAATATTCTTAAAGAGATTACTTACAAGGTAATCAAAAACTTTAGCTGCTATAGCTTATAGGCAAAAGACTGCATGCAGTCAAACTGAAATAATTAAACAATGTCAGATTATGATTTTCTCCTATCTTTATTGTCTTACTGTATTGCTATCGTAAGGTTGCAAGGGGAGATGTAAATACTGTAATTGTACTCATCTTTGCCTTATTATTATGGATTACACCAAGGTTGTTTTTTTTTAAACTGCATTTAAAGATAACTGTTGTTTAGCTAGTCTCTGGAACTCAAGCCTTCTGTGCATTTGTGTCTGCTATGAAAATATTCCATGCAAAACCAAAACCAAATTTATGTTACATATAGCTAAAGTTTACAGATTACTACTTTCTCAGAAAAAAAGTTAGTCTCCTCTATCTTATAACAGTTCTACAGATTCATTTAAATTGCTCCACAACTCTTTCTCTTTCTCCAACCCAGAGGTGATACTTTCCATCTGCATCAACGTACTGTAGATCCTCTCTTTAATTCTGACATGTTAATTCTGTGACCAAACTTTAGATTTGGTCTCCTCTCTTAGTCTGATAATTACCCTTCTGTGAATATCCAGAGTAACGCCAACTTCTCAATTCATACAATGCCAAAAGCTGTGTCTGCGCCTCACAATGTACTATGCTTTCCCTATAAAAGTTAATAGTCCTGGGGAAAAACATTAAACATCTGACGTGGGCCACCTAGTGTTTGGAAATGTGGATACATAAAGAAGCTTAGAGAAACATTTTAACCTTTCAGCTTCTGAAAGTTGATTTGTAGAGGCCAATTCATATATGAGCAATAAAACCTCATGAAGGATCATCCTTAAACTAATAGTTAAATTTAATCCTCCTGAAGCCATATTGCATTGCAAACATATGTGTAGTAAGTTCTACCCCACAATTTATTGCTACTTGATTTACAATGGCAGTAGCCTGACTGATGTTATCTACAATAATATATTTTGTATGTTGACCCCAGAGTGAAGTATTTGTATCTTTTTGTTAAACTGTCCTTTATGGCAGGGGTGTCAAACACCCAGCCTGAGGCCAGCTGCAGCCCACTTGAAGTAGTTATGTGGCCTGTCTGACCTATTCAGTTTGTGCAGAATGTGAGCCACAAAGAACAACTTCCAAACATAGACCAAGTATAACAAATAAGACTGCAGGCAGCCTGGAACAACACTTCAGAAATGTGAACTCCCCCACCCACAGTATGTACCACCTTATATATCAAATCATACTTGGGGAAAGAGAAAAATGATGCTAAATATGGATCAAGGAGGAAAGACTAGCTTTCCTTGTGGCATATCACAAAATATTACTGACAAGGTGCTAAATAGAAGAATAATGTACATGTATTTGGTGTCCCTCACCTCTGTTTGCTAGAAGCTGGGAATGGGCAACAGGGGATGGATGATTACCTGTTCTGTTCATTCTCTGTGGGGCACCTGGCATTGCCCACTGTCAGAAGACAGGATACTGTGCTAGATGGACCTTTGGTCTGACCCAGTATGGCCGTTCTTATGAATTGAAAAAAATTCTAAATGGTTGTCACTTTTTGCTCTGGCAGCTTTAATAAATTAACATGAAACTTGTACTGAGTGTATTAGAGTTTGAGCAGAGAACTTCTGTTTCTTGTAAAACCAACAGCACATACCCTGAGGAAGCTGTTCATCTGATATTGTCATAGTTCCACTGACATCTATAGCGCTATGGCAATTTACACCAGCTGAATACATACTGGATTATCTTCACTGTTGTCAGATAACATTATTTGATTTATGACACACTTAGCCTGTTTTTAATGTGGCTTAAATTATACTAAATTTAGCACAGCTTGAATTCTGTTATTTCAGCTACTTATTGGGGTCATTTTCATGAGCAGACAAACTGGAGCTGAAGAACAGAATGCAGAAGTACAGACATAGGTGGCAGGACTGAATCGGTACAAAAAAAATCTTGTTTTTTTACTTTTACAAACAAAAAACCATAAAAAGCTTGATATACCCCCCCACCCCCAAATTAAATTGCTTGAGAATTTGAGCCTTCTATGTCTGGTGATTGTTAAAGCCCCGATGGAGGAAATTGAGGGCCTACTTCCCCCTTTCTTGTAGATGTCCAGGGGTCTGTAACGGGAGAGAACCTTTAGCAAGCTTTAGGCGGCTTGTGAGGGCCTCACCTGAGGAGGGCTCAAAGACTAATTAGGTTCCTTGTAGCTGTCTTCATAGCCATAGTAGCACTAAATGGGCCAAAACAGAGTTTTCAGCCTCTTATCAGTAAAAATTGTTTTATCATGGACCAACTAACCTTGTGGGAGACTGAGGGTAGGCCTCCATGAGCCTCCCAAGGCTCAGAGGGGCAGGGGATGGTGTGGGTCAGAGTGGCCCTTGATTCACTTCCTAAGGTCACTGGGTAGCTTCCCAAGAGGAATACGTATGGGACCCAATGACTTTCCTGAGGCTTACGGGGGGGGGGGGTATCCTCCCCTCCTGCTGACATCAGGAAGGCTAGAGGAAGGAGATTGGGGGATGACCCAGATCTTCTCCCAGGTCTAGTCTCCTTCCCTCCCCCGAGGTCCTAAAAGAGATCTACAGGAGCTGGAGAGAGCAGTATATGGGACAGAGGCAATTCAAGGTTATAATGAGAACTTAGTTGCAACCTTGGCTCTGGAGTGATTACTTATTGATTGGCTTATTTTCTAATGTGATTTTCAAAAAGCGACAGTGCAGTGCAACTTAGAGAAACAGAATTATTTGCCTAAATTAATTGTGTGGAAAAGTTTAGTGTCATCCTAAACCAATACACAGGATCAAAAGATGCTTTCAAATCCTTGGATGAAAGGTGCTCTCTGGAACTGTAATGTATTATAATCTCCATTGGGCATGAAAGTGCAGCCACTTTGGTAGGGAGTGGGGGGTAACAAACAGGCAGAAAATTGGCACATAATACTACACAAAAGTGAATGGAGGAGAGACGGCCAAAGGCACTGAAACAGTCTTTCTCCTGTTCTTAAGGAAAGTGCTACTGGGGATCTTTTAACGTCCACGTTGCAGTACAAAGTGTGCGTTTGCTACAGTTACTAACATTTAAAGTTATGTCTGGTTTAACCACCCAGCAGCTGGTAACCTCTGACCTGGGGGGAAAGGGCAGAGCTGTGATGCTCGCCCGTACGCTGTCACATGGGCTGGGGCCGGTGTGGGACACCACAGGAAGTAAATGCTGGTTCCTGGGTTAAAGAGAGTGAGGCTGGCGAAGAGCAGTCTGCTCCTGCACAGCTCCAGGGAGAGGTGCGCCGCCGCCGCCTGAGCCTCGAGGAGTTCGTAAGTTTAACTCACTTTTCAGCCGTTGTCTTTGCCCTGCTGGGCAGAGCGGCCGGGGCCTGAGCGGCCTTCGCGTCGCGGCTCGGCTGGCTGTTGCTCGGCTCTGAGCGGGCCAGCCGCACGCCCCCGAAGCCACTCGGCGAGCTGCTCCTCTTCGTTTTATTCTCGCATTTACAGTCGGCTTGCGTCTCCTTCAGCCCTTCGCCCGCCCTCCTCCCCCGCCCCCGGTTTGGGGGCAGCTCGTGCCCCTCTCCCCCTCTGCCCTGAAGCTCGCACACAGGTAACCAGGGCAGCCTGCCTGGGGGGAGCTCTGCAGTCGCCCCGCAGATCCTGACAGAAAGACGGAAGTGAAGCGCCTGCCTGGGGAGGAGGAAAGGGGGGGGTGGGGACTCGAGGTGCTCGTGAGTTCCGCCAGGGCCCTGTTTTGGGTTTGCCGGGGCAGGGGACGTGCGGGCTGCTTGGCTTGTCTGGGGCAGGCGCGGGCGAGGGAGGAGTTGTTCTGTGGGGGCTGACAGGCGGGGGCTGTGTTCAGAAGCGGCTGCAGAGGTCCCAGGGCGGGGAGGGTTTGTTCACTGCTCTGTGAGCCAGTCATGGGACAAAACGATCCCCTCCTCCCCCCGCTCCGGTAGCTTCCACAGGTGGCTTATTCTGCAGGGGCTGAGCACAGGTGGCTGGGACAGGGTGAATGAATGGGAGATTTTTCAGATCATGAGGGGAAAATTCTGTTGCAAGAAATATGGGGGGAGGGAATTTCATCACACGACTCTTTTTCTGGACCTGAACTGGGGGCCTGCCTTGTGATTTCTTTGCTCAATTAATTTTTTTAAAGGAACCTACCATAAAATTAATCAAGAGTAACAATAATCTGTATTTATAAGACCTAAGAACAGAGGTCCTCAGCATTGTTCACAACAAGGCAAAGTCACGGCACTAGAGGCTTTGGGTATGATTCCGCTCTCACTAGCAGTGGTGTAAAATCAGGCATTTTGGAGAAAAGAGCCCATCTACAGTGACAACCCCTCAACTCTTTTTGAATGATGACTTCAGCTGCTTCACCAGTTCTCAGTGGTGGTCTGGTTGTGGCAAAGTAATTTTAAAAAAATATTCCCATGGAAGAAAACTACATAGAAAAGTAGATGAAATGTAGAGAAGTGTTTGTTGCTGGAACAGCACCAATATTCTGATGTGAACTTTTTATCATTAAGGGGGTGTGTATACACTCAATTTGATAAATTTGTTTTTAAACATTTTAAGAAGGCTTTTGAGAAGTTGCTGGCAAGGACACTCATGGTGTACATCTTCATTATCAGTATGCTGGAATATGAAGTAATACATATATAAATAGTAACAAACTAAGTTGTTGTTTCTACTTCTTCATAATATGCCGAATGGCTGTCAGTGTAGTGGTACTATGAATGGAACAGCATTAAGGAACGTGCTGCTTTCAACAACTGAAATCAGTCGGAGTCTCATGTGTGCAGATGGCCATAGGCTCTTGTATCTTTTGTTTCCTCTCTCATAATGTCTGGTGTTGTGCCTGTCACCGTGGTATCTGAGCACTTTCCAGTGTTTTGTTAAAACTATAACTTACTAGTCCTGGTACATGTAGCCATTTCTTATTGTAATATATTTTGCATGATATTGTACCATCCTGTAGCAGAGCAGTGTCATCAGACCTACACAATCATGTTTATGTATTTAAACAGGAAATACTTACCAAGGCCCAACTGGGACTCCATGTAGGTGCAGCAGTTCACCGGCGAAGATTGGGCCTTATGGATGTCACATAGACCTTAACTCCCCCCTCTTCAGCATATGCATTTCAATAAATATTTAATTACATGATCACAGAGTTTGTACAGGGATGTAAAAGTGCTACTTAACACTGTTAGATGATACTGTTTGGCAAATGCAATACAACAGATGCATATGGTGTATGTAGCATTTTGTATTGCTCCCTCTGTGCTGTGATTATATTTAAGGGAGGGGGCATAAACTCAAAGTTTGGAGGATCAGACAAGTATCCAGAACTGTGCATGCTTGCTCTAAATCTTTGAGGGCCCTGTTTATGACTTGTCCTCCTTGTGTCATCTCCTCTGACACCTCCCATTAACACTATTTGGGGGGAAGATTGATAGTAAAAGTGGTCAGTTTCAACAAATTGGCATTTTTTCAACAAAAAAATTGTCAAATTCCAGACCAATCTCCTGACTCAAGCTTTTTGAAATGCATCAATGTTGTCAAAATGTCTTGTTTTGACACTTTCAGAATTAAAGTTTCCAGTTTTCCAGTTCAAAACAGCTCTTTATTTAGAAATTTAAGTCTGTTAGACTGAAAGGCTTTTTTTAAGGAAAATGAGTGATGTTTTGTTAAGATTCAGGATGAGAAATCTTCTCTCAAAAATATGGATTGGACACAAACTGTTTCCTGCCTAGCTCTACTTGATAGCCTTTCCCTTCATGCTTTGAGACCAGAATGAGTCTTCAAGGGAGATTTCTCAGTCCTCCCCCAGCAGCAGGTATCAGTGTTGGTAGAGTGATGCCTCAAAAGGCCAAGATTTCTGAGGTGATTTTTTTTCTAGGGTTCATTAAGTGCTGTCTAGTCTTCTGACTTGAGTGATTAGTTAAATATTAAACAGTACATAAGGAGACTAATCTCAGCTGGTTTAAATCACTGTAGTTGTCTTGACTTCAATGGTGTTACATTGGTTTACACCGGTGGCTGACCTGGCCCCCTACCTTCAATACTTTGTCCTGAATGGTAAGTCTCAATACTTAACATCTCTAGTCATTGTGTTACTGCCTCAGAGAATTAGATGAACTATGCTGCGCAAGAGACTAGGCTAAAGGTATTTTGGAAACAATCAATCTAAAGGGTCTTCATTTTTGTACAGAATGTGAGTCATCTAAAGCTAAAAACCATATCTTCCTGTACTTAGATTTCTTCTGTTCACAATTCTTTCAAACTCCATTAAAACCAGTTGTCTATTATTATTATTTTTTAGTACAAGACATAACTCACAACAGTTTGCCTAAAAACCTGTTGGGTGACTTGAGGGAAGTTACAAAAAGGTATAAAAACAGTTTCATTGTCCTGTGCCAGCCTTTCAGGAACATAAGAGCACACTTTCAGTAATTCTGATTTTTAACAATGCTTTTCCTTTTTGACTTCCTGTAAGTGATGCAGCTAATTGCCTGCCCATCTATAGACTACAGTGAAAACTATTCCATTTAGAGGAAGACTGCTAATCTTTGGGAAGGGGAAGAAATAGTGTACATTACACAAGATGCCTTGGGGCAGTATGCATTGCCCTTATGTTGCATTGGTGGAGGACAATGATGCCCATCATAGCCCACAATCACTCCTAGCTACTTGTATTATTATAATCTTACATCCACATGATGCCTTTTATTCCTAAATATCCGCAAGTACTTCAGAACCTAGTATATAGAAATAGCTTCACCGGCTACAAAAGTGCAGTCACTTCTGGGTTGAAATTCATCCAGTTCAACAGCACTCAGAAGTACTCCACAACAGTGAGAGAAGTGTTACATTATTCAACTTCATGTACAGTGGGAAGTTTATGTAGGCAGAATGTAATTATACACACACACAGCATGGTCACTGCTGTTGTCACCCTTCATTCTTGAGAAAGATACTTGTGAGATTTAATGATCAGATACTGTTTTTCTTCCAATACCTTTTACAGACACAATAATCTAATCTATATTTTATATCTAGAGAACAAGAGTGAGGTCCCAGCAAGGGAGCACCCCGTGAGTCTCTCCTCTTTGGTATGCATCTGATCACAAAATAGATACAGCCTCTACAGCAGAGAAGAGATCTTCTCTCCATTTAAAAGAACAGTTCAAATAAAACAAATTAGAACAGATACAAGATACATAACCAACAGTTAAGGTTTCTGGTTCACACTTCAGCTGAAAGATGACCCTTGAAGCAGTTTGGGGGCTTGTCTACACACACACATTGTACTGCTTTCACTGTACCAGTTATACACCCCCCCCCAATATTGGACACAACTATATCGGTGTAAAAGTATTTTATTCCCCATATGGGAAGGGGAAAGAGCTATACTAGTATAAGGAACCTTTATACTTGTATACCTATGTCAACAGGAGGGATTGCACTGAGAACTATTTCAGTAAACGATCACACCCCTGAATTAAGAAATTAGATCAATACAAAAATTGTGTAACATCTGACTACTATGCTGGGGGAATGGTTAATTTACTGACTCAGAGGCAGTAGTGCCACCTTCTGAATTACCAACACCATTTCCTGCAGCACCTGGGTTTTTCCTATCTTCTATGTAAGTACTGACCTACCTTGACCTTATTTAGCTATGGTAGCTGAAGCAACCACAACCGTAGGTGATATTGTAACTTGAAGAGAGAGCTACCATAAATGCTATGTAATGTGTATTTCCTTTCTCTGATACAAAACACAATGTGTGTGTTTGTACCTGTTAGCATATTTGTAATGAAATGTTATTTATATTCAGTGTTGGAGTGACTCTCAGAGCTGATAGGACACAAATATAACGGTCTTAAAAATACTGAGCCAAGTTCTTTGGCTGGTGTAAAACACTGTGGTTCTTTAACTTAATGGAGCTATGCCAGTTTACACCAGCTGAGGACTTAGCCAATATGGCCAGAATTTTCAGAAGGGCTCAACACCCACAATTGTGACAGTCTTAAAGCATTCAAAACCCAGCACCTCTTATTAAGAGCAAGGAGAGCAGCTGATTGCTTTTGAAAGTTTGCCTACTTTATTTAGTTGTCTAACTGGGAGCTGAGATTTTTTTTGAAAACTTGAGATTTTTTTTGTGTGCGCTGAGCCCTGTTGGAAAATTTGGTCCCACATCTACTTGTACTTAATTCCTTTCCTGATAAGACTACTAGCATTCCCCCATAAAGGACTGCAGCACTAATTAAACTGTCCACTTTGTTGCTGGTTGCTCACCAAGGAATAATCACAGAATTGTGATTCTACTTATCACAGTCGCATGCATCCATGCATGTTCTATCCTCCCTTTTCAGGTCTTGTATATATTCTTGTGTATATAAACACAAGAATATAGATGGCCAAAGCATATGTCACCTTTTCAGCCTGCTAACTTGTACAGTTCTAAACTAGTATCCCATTCAATTTATATAAATGTACTGTTTTCTTTCCATGGTAGCATAGCTTAGATGGTCAGATGTTACTAAAAATTCCCATACTGACGTCTTCCTCTTGTCATCTTACTAGTTTCACATCTGTAAAGCCAGACTGTTTTCTATTCTTCTATTAGGAAGATAAGGAACTTTATGATTTTTCCCTAATAAAAGCCTTATATAAAGCATAAATTGTTTGTTTGAAACATTTCTAGTATGAAAGATTACCTTGGGTATTCTGCCTTATCTCCCCCTGAGTCTCCTTGCTTTGAAGCTTACCAGGAGCAGAATTGCTTTGATGTAGCAGGGATTGTGTTCTACAATAATACTTCCACTTCTGTGTTACTGAACTGAAGTTTCATTTAAAGTTTGCCTAAGCTCACTCTTTAACATCTAAAAAGAATGTTAGAAAAGTGCTGTAGTAGCAGAAACGCTGTTAAGTCATGGTCATGCTGAATGTGGGTGTTCTGATTATAAACTGTATTTAGATAGAAACAATAAACAGTGACTCAGGTGCATCTTCTGATTTCCAATTCATTTGAAATTAAGTTTTAATTTTCATGTCATAATTCCTGTAGCAATAGCTGTCATTCCAGCCACCTCATTAACATGAATTTAGTGGAAGACAACTGGCCTAACCCTCAAAACCATAGGATCCGATTTTCTTCCCCAAGCCAGGGGCATCGGTGTAGAGGCCTGCTGCGCTGCTCAAATGGAGTCTCGCAGCAAAGACCCACCACTGTCTCTAAAACAACCACCCCCTTATTGAGGTTCTACTGCATGGAGGGCATGCCACAAAAGAAACCCCCCCAAAAAACACTAACCACTTCAAAGTGCAGTTTTTGGTGGATTTCCCACCAAAGGTTCAGTGGTGGGAAAATGCACATCCCTGTTCCCCTTTTCCTGGCTCACCCTCTCTAGGACTACATCCAGATTCCTCCACAAGCTTCAGGAACATAAGTTTTCCTTTAATAAAAATAATAATTGTCAAAGCAAAAGATTTATGGCATTATGTTTCATTCTGTCTGAAATAGAAATCTGCCCTAGTTGTGTCCTGGAAACTGTTGTGTTTGGGGGAGGAGGGGTCACTGATTTTCAGCTCTAAGAATTGGTATTGGAGCTGTTCATTACATACAATAGACATCCTGTAACAGAATTGGCTGCCTCCAGAGAACCCCCTTATGGCCAGAGGTCACTCTGTAGTACCCTGCCTCTGTTTCTCCCCTCTTCAGGGTCCATTACACAGAAGAAGTGTATGTTCAAAATACTCCTCCTGGGGGTCTGGGTTTATTCACAGAAGATTAACTCAAACTCTACCAAACACATTTCTGTTACCCCTCCCAGGCCTTTCCTGCTTTGGCAGGCCACTATGAAGCCCTACCTGGCTGGAGTCTTAGTCCCAATCTTCTGTTTGCACCTGCTCACTCCTAGCAGTCTCTCATTCCTGAACAAACTACATCTTATCATTGCAGCTGCCAGTTACTGTTTGTAGGGGAAATCACTTGATTCCTCTCAGGTGTGCCTCTTTAAAGTAATCAGAGTTGTCTAACCCCTGACCCTCCAGCCCATACAGTTACACATCCCAATATATGGAGAAAGGTCTGTTGTGACAATTGGTCTATAACTTTTGCCTGCTTTTTTTGAATTTACCATGGAAAGTAGATCGTTATTTTCAATAAAGAATGTTGATTAAAAATAGGTGCAAGAAAACCAACAGAAACTAGATTAGTGCAAACAACAAAGCTTAATAATATGTCAGACTGTTAAACATGTCAGATTTTGTAAACAAGGAAATACAAGTCTGGAAATTAATAAGCCAAAACTGCTGTCATATTAGACCTAAGTGGTTGACATATAATGAGGAGATGGGCTATTCCACCCATCACACCCTTTTTAAGCCCTTAAATAAAATGGGGCAGGAAACAAATAGAGGCTACTGGAACAAGTTTCCCCATCGTGGCGGCTGCTGCTCCCTTCTGTTCTCCCCACCCCCATCACCTGGGACCCCAGACCGTCTTTATCTTAATCCTGAGGGATGTCATGACCAGCTCAGGCCCGCGCGAGGGCTCCAGATGATATTGCCACGTCTACCAGCTCCAACTGAATCCCAAACACCACCTAAAATGAAACAGGATTGGATTTTAGCAGCAACAGCTCCAGCTTATGCCAACTAACTTCTCTTTTAACCAAAGAGACAATTATTACAATCTTTAATACCTTCTAAAAGACTGTCAACCAGAGACTCTTTTCTTCTAAGGCTCTCCAGCTAAAGGGAACAAGCATGTTGTTAAAATAAAAGCCTTACTTAATATTTTACACTTCAAATGCTTTAACTGTTTTTACTACTTTTCTGTATCTTTAATAAATGGTTTAGAAAATGTCAATGGCGTATTTGTCATGGCATTCAGCAGACTGAAATCTCTGTACACCAAAAACCCCGGACCTTGTTTAACACCTTTGAATGTTAACACCTCTGACCCACTTATTCCATCTAAATTAATACAGCAGGTCCCAGGTTTTTTTGCTAGATTTCACTGCTTGGTATTGTTAACCTGTAGATAAAAGGTGTTCTGAAATTCATTGTAGTGTTAGATATGACAGGAAAGGGATGTGTCCATGTGCTATTGTTTACGTGGTGATTTTTATTTATTTATTTTTCTGTTCCATAATGGAAAACTTTCTGGTGGTTGGACAATTGAATAATCATTAAAATCCTCAACGCTTTTGTGTGTTGTATATCATCAACTTTCTGATTTCAACAATCACTCAGTCTTGCAAACACTTAAACATGAATAACACAGTGGCACTATGCATGTGCATATATAGCTTGAACCAAAGCCAAACTGACTTCATTAAGCCTTGATTCAGGCCCACACTTACACCCTAAGTGTTTGCATGGGCAGGATCATACATAGTTCATAACACTGGGTGATTTTGATAATTTGTCCCATGTACTTGATTGATGCAAAGTTGTTACGTGACATGATAAAATTACAAATTTACCTTTTGTATGCAGTGTTAGTCCCAGGATATTAGAGAGAGAAGGTGAGTGGAGTAATAACTTTTATTGCACCAACTTCTGTGGATGAGAGAGACAAGATTTCAAGCTACACAGAGCTCAACAGGGAAGAAGAACGGTACTGTGAATGTCTCAGTTTAATAATACAAGGTGGAACAGATTGATTAGTATAAGTAGTTTGGCCACTCTCCACCTTGAATATGTGCTGTTAACACCTGTGCAGTGATGGGACAAAAAGGGGAAGGAGAGGTTAGTTGGTTACAGATTAGTCTAATAAGCCATAAATCCAGTGTCTTTGTTAGTACCTAGCAGAATTAGGAATTTAAGCTCCCAGGCGTATCTTCTGAAAGTGTTCTGCAGGTTTCCTTTGGGGATGAGGACTGATAGGTCAGAGAGTGTGATGGCTTTGTGAAAAGTGTTCACCCACAGGTGATGGGATGTTTTTGTCTTTTTTCATTTTTCCGTGTGAGTTCATTCGAGAGCGTAGTGATTGTCACACAGGAAAACCATAAAAGACACAAACATCCCATCACCTGTGGGTGAACACTTTTTTCACAAAGAAGTCCGATATAAAGTGATCTGTCAGTCCTCATCTTCAAACATGCACAACACTTTCAAAAGATGAGCCTGGGAGTTTAAATTCATAACTCTGCTAGGCACTAAAAATCATGGACTGAACAAAGACACTGGATTTATGGTTTATTACAGCAATCTGTAACCCACTAACCACACACACACCCTTTTTTTTTTTTTTTTTTTTTTTGTCCTATCACTGCAGAGGTGTTAACGGGTCACTCTACTTTGCATGGTCCCTTTTTTTGGAATATGTGCTAACTACTTATGTTAAACAATCTGTTCCACCTTGTATTTAGCTGTGACACTCAGAGTACCTTCCCTAATCCTGAAAAAGAGCTCTGTGTAGCCCGACAGCTTGTCTCTTTCACCAACAGAAGTTGATCCAATAAAAGATATTACCCTCACTCACCTTGTCTCTCAAATTTACCTTTGTTAATTAACTATCCTTTTTTTCTGATCACTTTTCAGGTCTGTTAATTTGTCCATCTTTTCAGTGATGAGACAGTGCTGGGAAGTATGGATAAAAATATTGGAGAGCAGCTTAATAAAGCTTATGAAGCCTTTCGACAGGCATGCATGGATAAAGACCATGCTGTGACAGAACTGCAGCAAAAAGTATGTGTTGGTTTTGTTTTTAAAGCTATCCATTCTGTTGAGAATCAAAGTAAATGTGGAGACTTCAGTTTTGCTTTACTTCAGCAACTGAAATTTCAGTGCATCTTGTTAAAGATGGAAATTGCAATTAAAAAAACCAAACCACTAAATCAAAGAATAGCACAGTATGGTGTGGGGAAGAAACTCCCAATATGTGTGTGTATCATCTGGCATGTCTTTAATCTTTTATTTGTAATTTTGAGGTGGTTTTAGGTGTGGGAAAGGTGTCTCCGGAAGATAATCAGGGAGCTCTTTAAAAATGTAAATGTATCTTTGTAGACAGCATCTTTCATGGAAAATATTAAATCTAATTTATCTTACTCTTATTTTACAACAAATTGATAGGGAAATCTGAAGGTCTTTCAGACAGTTATTTATATTGTTACTTACCTGACACACAGATGTGCCTTATAAGTTATTAATAATTGAGATATTGGGGTCTTTGGTCACTGTACTAGATGCTGTACAAGCACATAGAAAGATAATTAAAAATACTTATGACAGAAACTAACTTACAAGTTGTCTTAATATTACCACTTTTTAAAATACAGGAATCAAACTGTATACTTATATCCTTTTATCCAACAATGAAGCAGTGAAGAGGGAGGTTCAAGGAAGATTCTGAACAGTTTGTAGCATTTTGGGTTTTTCAGGATTTTGGAATGATGTGAACAAGCATTTACAAGGATATATTTCAACCATCATGTTGGACCCAACAACATTTCCATGAGTTGTCTGGAGCTGCTAGCCGCACATGCAGTCCAATACTCTGCAAAAGCAGCAGTTTGTGGCTTTGTGATACTGCCTAGCACACAGGGGTCTCTAGAGCATTTCAAATCCTGCTCTTGAATGAGAGACTCCATTGTTCATCAGTTCACACACAGTTCAATGGAGGTGCTATGGTGCGGGCCTGTCTGGAGCAACATGGGTCCTAAATTAACTTACAGTTCAGAGAGAGGAAGTAATGGAGTTAGGGGTAAGAGAGTGTTTGCCAGAGAGCACACTTTATTCTGAAATCCAGTAACCCTCCCTACCGCCTCCCAAAAATAGTCCTACCGCAGAATAGTCTGGTGCTCAGAGCACTTATTTGGATGTGGGAGACCTCAGTTCAAGTGCATTCTCTGCCTGAGTCAAAGACCAGATGCTTGAACCCTGGGTCACCCACATGCTAGCTGCGTGCCTTACCCGCAAGCTATTTGCTGTTCTGGACTGGGGCTCTCGCTCTCTCAACACAACTGAGAAACTCCTAAACTCTAACTCTCTGCGTTCTTTGAAATTAATTGCTAAATTATAAACTTAATTTTGTCCTCTTTGGATACATATGCTGCATTCAAAACAAGAAAATAAATACATGCTTATGGAACGGCCTTTCTAAAGCTCAGTGGAAAATTGGAACATAAGGAGCAAATGGGTGAGACTGTGAGTATTCTACAGTGATGGAAACAAATTTCTATGGGATTTTGTTGTGCATTTCTCTTTTGCTTAGAGACAAGCAATACACAGATCTTCCATAAAGTGTTCATAATAACTTGTCTTTGCCCTAATCAACCTTCAGCAATCAGATTCTCTGACTGCAGAAAAGAACCATTAAAGGTAAAAGTATTTCCTAAGGGAAGTCAACCTATAGAAACTACAGGTTTTTACCAAACATGAGTTTTTGTTTGTTTGTTTGTTTGTTTATTTTGGATGACCTACATATGTTGCTTGCTCTAATGTTTCCTTCCCCTTTCTCTGTTCACTCCATAGCCGTAGCACTTTGTTGGCTTGTCCATCATTTTGTTGTTAACAGTTTACTGAAGTTACTGGTAGGCCACTTGTTTTACCAGTCTCTAGAGTTGGGAGCCATGTCAAACACACAGAAGCCAGAGTCTTCTTGGCCAGATGGTGTTTGGTACAGATGGATAGTTGGTTGTCATGCAGATCTTCTAGTTGGTAACTTGTTGCTGCCATCTGACTCAAAGAATAATTTGTGCACACTGGCTGTCAAAAGCATCTTCTCTTCTGTCTGTTTTAGCTGTCATGTCTGTGCTCTGTACAGAAGTGTTGACAAGACATTGCTGTTGTACATTTTCAATTTGGTTTTCAGTGATTTTTCTGCTTCCTGAGGTCTTTTATAGTTGCTGGAGTGTACTGCTCTATGATCACTTTTTTTTTTTTTTAATGCTCTCACTGCAACAATTACTTGGCCTTTCAGAGTAACCTTTAGTCAGATTGTAGGTTTATTCTTGATGTATGGACAAGTGCGACTTTTCAGTAAGTCCTCTTAACTCTGTGAGACTTCCAATACAGTAGTACAATAACATGAAGTACAATAACAGTGAAGTAACTCATTAAACAAATCTTGCCCCCACTCTCTGTAGAGTAATGTGTATCATAATTTCAGTAAAAATTCAAATAATCCTCCTAAAACTTTCTTCTTAGAATTTCACAAGTTTTCTCCCATAACTTCAGCACTATTAATGTTGTGCCATCAAGAATGGGCTAGTGTCATCATGTATATATTTTAATATTCTTGTTGTTCAGCTACCTGAATGGTAGCTGATTGTTGTTCAGTTAACTGGCTGGCCAATATTCATCTACCTGGAGTAGCTCCGTGGCCTTCTAGGTTCTAACAGGGCAGGGCAGGTCAAGCTAGGGGAAAAGATTAGGCAAAGTTGGATGAAGAATAACCCTGAGCAGCTATTCTTTTCTTTGCTAGTTGGGCCTTCTCCCCATCCCTCTTCCAGGAGCCTTGGAAGGCAAAGTTAGCAAAGACACGCAGTTTGATGTATTAAATATAGACATGTATATTTATTCCTGGTTTGTTTGTTTTTTTTAGTTAAACAGCAAACATCAGGTATGGGGAGTGGAACTATAATACTGTTTCAAATTAAGTTTGAAAAAACTAATATCTTTACTTAGACATTTAGATTTATTTCCTGAAAAGTTAAATTGATAGAGTCCTATATAGATATAACTGGGGTAACTAACAGATTCTGTGAAAGAATAAATAAATATCCAAATCCTAATTTTAAAACACATTTTAATTTGTGGTTATGACTGAAAATTGCCTCCCGTATAAACGTTATCCTGACACTTACTACCATCACTGTTAACCAAGAGTTACAGCAATCTTGTTTTATCTAGTAGTTTACCTTTTTCCAATCAGTACAGACTTAAAATTAGACGTGTCACAGGTGAAAACTGTCATGTTTCTGTGCACAAATTGCAGCCGCAGGCATCCCAAAAAGAAAGCTGATAAACTGTATCTGCTAAAATTGAAGCCTTTAATCAAAACAAAATAAGACTAATGCTAATTAAATTATTGTATTTTCAGATAGATAGCTATAAGCAGCAAATATCTGAACAGCAGGAACAGATAGCGTTTCAGAAAAGTACGATTACAAAACTTAAATCACAGTTGGCTCCTGTAAATGCTAACAAAGGTACGTACTCTAATTTGTTGTGCTTTATATGTCTTTCCTTTAATCATGTATTGTACTGCAGAATAGTTTTGACTTGTATATTGCTTCAGATTCTACAATATGTATCCACAAAAGGACTCTGCGGTAATGCTATGCTTAAGGGAAATAACTACTTCTGTTCACACAGAAAAGGAGTACTTGTGGCACCTTAGAGACTAACCAATTTATTTGAGTATGAGCTTTCGTGAGCTACAGCTCACTTCATCGGATGCATACCGTGGAAACTGCAGTAGACATTATATACACACAGAGACCATGAAAGAATACCCTCTCCCACCCCACTGTCCTGCTGGTAATAGCTTATCTAAAGTGATCATCAAGTTCACACGGAAATAGTCTTAACATACTTTTGCATTTTCAAATCTTGTTTATAAAATGAAAAATCTTTGGAAACCTTTTTGTTTGTTCTTCGAGAAGAAACTGAAGATTTTTTTTTTAAAAAAATGTACAGCTTGTTCACATTGAAGCCAATGGACTTTAGGTGAGTAGAGTTGTTAATTGTAGTAACAAATTATCTGCAAACAGGATATGATTTATTTTTATGAATATTTATTACAATTGTTTGAATAATTTGTGTGAACAAGTTTTAGCCTATAGTTTTTTCTAGAACTGGGTACAATAGGTGTTCACTTTTTATGTTGTGTGACGGGTCAGATAAGTTACATGGCACTCTTTTGTTAACTTATTGGGTTACTTAAGCTTTATAAACAGGAGTTTCTCTTTCTGTTCAAATGGTCAGTGAACATTCTTAATTCTCTGAATCAATTCTACACATGATGGAAATAAAGTTTGCAAAATGGCCATTAAAACTCTTTCAGTAAAAGCACTCTTGTGAATATTTTATTTATTTATTCACACTAGTCTAATGCTTTTCCTTTTCACAAATGCCAGCAAAGCTGATGGCTTTATTTTCAAGAATATGTGTTTATTGTTGGATTTGCTCATCCGTCTGAGATTTGAGGGCAGAATTGGGCCTCTGTTGGATTAATACTAGGTCCAATAAAGGAAACTAAAATCAACTTAATATGTATCTGCAGTGATACTTGGCCCAGTGAAAATACCAAATTCATATGATGCATTTAAAAGAAAAAATCCTAACGTGGTTGGTGGGTGGAAAAAAATGCAGTGTTGCTCAGAGAGCTGTTTTTATTTTACAGGTAGCGCACATGGCCGCATTCTAGTGTCTGAAGATAGTGAAGCATGGAGAAATGACACCTCCCCTAATCTAACTTTTGATCAGCTCCATGAAAAACTCAAACTAGCAATGCAAAGAGAGAAACTTTTAAAGGTACACTAGCCTGATTGTCTTTAACGGGATTATTATATTTATGCTTTTAAGCTCTAATGGAGAAATGAGCTTTCAGAGATGCCCAGAACTGCTCCCTTTCCAGGGTCTTATGGACTTGATCCTCAGCTGATGTCAATTATCATAGCTCTACCAAAGTTGGTTGAGCTGTGCTGATTTCCACCAGTTGAGGATAAGGCTTCACTTTTCCCAGCTCTGTTGCTGTTTGGCAGGGTCGATCATGGAATAATGTTGACTCGGGGGGGAAAAATAAGGGGTGGGGGAACCTGTCTGCTCACTTATTTCTTCACCTCACGTATGTGACAGTCAAGAAGGAGCTCCCCTTTTCTGTAATGAGAATCTGTCACAATGCAGTCATCGGGGTGAGGATGGGGACTTGGCAAGTCTGCGCGGCAGCAAGTGATTGGGGTGAGAAGTGACTTGCTGCGAAAACTGGCTGGATATATTCCTTTCCCCTACCCGCTGCTGGCTGAAGCCACACAAGGGTTTTCATCATAGACCTACTGAGGTTGGCAGGGATGAGAATAGAACAGCAGCGTTCAGGAGGGAGGAAGTGATTTACATGAGGCTCCCACACCCAGAGCAGACCTTGTGCATCAAGCTGATCCTTTCCCTGCTGCGTTTTCTGGGGCTTGCACATCCCATAAGGCTGAATTATCAGTCTGAGCATGACCCCACAGTGTTGTCTTAATAAACCTTGTAAAACCAAAAGCTCAGACTAAAAAAGTTTAATTTGGGGATTTGTTTGCTAAATCTGAGCTATGGGCAAAGTGATCCTGCATTTTGGTGAACTAAGCACATTTTAATCAGAGGTGTTGTTTTGAAAATCATTTTATCGGATTAGTGACAGTTGCTAATTATCTTGTAGGAATCTAATTTTGAGATTTTTTTTTTATTTATTTTTTTAAATAAGCATTTTCAGTTTATTGTTACTAGGACATTTTAGAATGAAAGGAGCATACAAGAATCTCCTCCTCATATGGTCTCCGCCTCTGGGTTAGCACTTGTAACCCCACAATATAATTTCCTTGGTAGTTCTTTGTATTTAATTAGAAAATGAGAGTATAATTTAGTTGGAGAGTTAACTCCTTGTCAAAATATCTTTGCAGGTCTTTCCATTTCTCTGTATTGAATTTCATTATTATTATGTGTATTCTGGTAGAGCCTAGAGGTCCAACCATGATTGAAGTCTCATTGTAATCTATATTGTACAAATATTAAGAGACAGCCCCTACCTCGAGGATCTTACAATCTATCTAAATAAGACCGAAAAGGAGTGGGAGAAAGGAAGCTGAATTATCCCAATTTCTCAGATAAGGACCTGAGACACCGAGATTATATGATGTACTTACACTGTCATGGGAAGTCTATGGCAGAGCTGGGAAATGATCTTCTGATCTTTGATCTTCTGAATTCTAGTCCAGTGTCTTAACCACAAGACTGTCTTTCTTTTTGAGGCACAAACTACCTATCGGTACCTGCTCCTAGACTATTCAGGTATCTCTCTGATTTACAAAAAGATGTGCATGAGTAAGAGGTGTATCCGTTGTAAATTTAATCGCTTACTTAATGTGGATCTTTGGTATATATGGAACAAAACTGATCCTCCGTATTGCATTTTTCACCCTGCCCAATCTAAATTGCTTTCTCTTGTAAACGCTGTCTTCAGTAGAAGAACCGATTCTTCATCAACCCAAGTATGGTAGTTCACTTCAGTTTTTTGTTTTGTTTGTTTGTTTTTTTAAATGTCCTATCAAATTTTTTCCCCAAAAACCAGGTAAACTATATCCACAGCCATTGTCCTCCACCACATGAACTCCTTTCTGCTACATCCCTAGCAAAACGGTCTCATTCACTAGCTGTATAAATTCAGCATGGGTAAATCCATGGTGGTGGCATTTAAATTAAAAATAGTTTGTGTCCCCTCATTCTGTCTCTAGTTAGTGTTTAGATTTATCGTGGATCTGAAACTGTGGGTCAGGACCCCAAAGTGGGTCACAATCCTGTTTTAATGGGGTCGCCAGGGCTGGCTTAGACTTGCTGGGGCCTAGGGCCAAAGCCCAAGCCCTAAAGCTTCAGCCCTGGGCGGTAGGGCTCAGGTTACAGGCCCCCTGCCTGGGGCTGAGGTCTTGGGCTTTGGTCTCCTGGCCTGGGGAGGTGGGGCTTGGCTTTGCCACCGCTTTTTCCCCCAGGGTGACGGGGCTTAGGCAGGCTCAGGCTTTGGTCCTCCACTCCTGCAGTCCTAGCATAATTTTTGTTGTCAGAAAGGGGTCACAGTGCAATGAAGTTTGAGAACCCCTGTTTTAGAACATTCCCCAGTTATGTAATTACCCGGGTCTTCCCTAGAACTTCACTTAAATACGCAAATTGTCTTCACCTGGGTCTACTGGAATCTTTCTCTTGGCTCAATCCTGTACCCACTGAAGTTGATGGAAATGTTATTGACTTTAATGGGTACAGCATCAATCCCTGATTTCTAGCGGTTCAAAATGTTTGCTTAGATGTTCAGAGATAGACAGTTGCACTATCCAGGGCTAGTAGTGATTCTCAACCTTTCCAGATTACTGTATCCCTTTCAGGAGTCTGATCTTTGTCTCATGCCTTCAAATTAGCCTTCAAGTGAGGTGCGTTTGCTTACACAATCAGACATACAAATACAAAAGTGTCACAGCACACTGTTGTTGAAAAATTGCTTGCTTTCTCACTTTTACCATATAATTATAAAATAAATCCATTGGAATATAAATATTGTACTTACATTTCAGTGTATAGTATTTAGAGCAGTATAAAGTTATCTGTATGAAATTTTAATTTGTACGGACTTCGCTAGTGCTTTTTATGTAGCCTGTTATAAAACTAGTCCAATATCTAAATGAATTAATGTACCCCCTGGAAGACCTCTGTGTACCCCCGGGGTACTTGTACCCCTTGTTGAGAACACGGCTCTTTCATCTGCAATCTGTTGACATTGTAACCCAAACAGATTTCCCAGATTGGCATTCTTATACATTGATCAAGAGGGGTGACAGAATAATTCCTATACAACCATATCTGAGTGTGCCCTTGGGACATATGAGCATTGCTCAACATATCCCTCTGGATCCTCTTGCAGAGGAAAAACCATAGCCTCTCAAGAGAAATGTTGTCTTCTCTGTTGGAATCTGCAGATGTGTGAGCTATACCTCATAGTCAGCCTTTCACCATTAAGTACTTGTATTTTTAGTTCCTAGGTCTGAAAGAACAATCGTTGATATGATCTTCATACATCCCAGAAGGGGACTGACCAAAGAGACTAGTGCAGTCTCTTTATACCATACCCAAGCTAAAACCAAAATGAAGTCATGGAAATCTGTGGACTCCTTTATATCCAGAACTGCCTCGCCACAGCCTTCTCAACAATCTTCCCTCAGAAAAGGAGATTAGAGAGGGTAATAACTGGCATAATTATGAGGACCCAGAGACAGTAAAGAATGATCAAAGGGACTAGGAGTTTTGTCAATGCTTCCCTTTAGGAGACCAAGGGGTCAACATCCCATTCCATTCCAGGAATGGTCTTGAGTATTTCCCAGTTAGATCTTATCAACTAGGAAGGACATGGGTCCACTTTTCATGTCATAGCCCAAACCTCCCCAGGATAGCCATGACCTTTGTAGGCAAAACTACATGAAACCCAAGCAAAGAAGACCTTGCATTTCTCTCCCCTAAACACAGCTCTCCCCACAAAGGCAAACAGTGCCATGTGAATCAGAGTAAATTTATCTGTGAAGCATGAATACTTGACTCCACAACCAAGACAAAACATCCATATTTACCATGCTCTTCACATTCCTCCCAGAAATATTCCAAGACTTTAGATGCTATAGCAGAGGGGAAGAAATGCTTCTACACCTGAGGCACTGCCAGGGCATCAATCTCAAAAATAATTTTATCCTGCAATAAGTTACTTTGTGGTCTAGGTTCTGAGCTGTTCAGAGCATAAGCAGAGTGGTAAGGATTGTGCTATAAGTCACCGTTCTGTGCCCCTGATCCTGGGGCTGAAATGCCCCTTCCCCTCACCCCATGTAACTTAAAGCAGCCTGAGAGGCTACTCTAAGAAATGCTAGCTGGGACAGTCCTGTGGAGTGCTGTGTGTTCCAGCCCCTCCCACCCCATTATACCTCCTCCATTCCACCTACCTCTGAGATGAGAGAGCAGCTAATGGATAGCTGATATGCTGGGTTTATACCAGCTGCAGACTCTCCTGCACCTGCCTGTCTGAGACCGCTTTAAGCCTCCTTTTGTGCACCACTGGAGTGATGAAAAGCAGAATTAGTCAGGTGACCTCTGAAGCTGAATGGGACACTTATTGGTAAACTTATCAATAGTCAGACAAAAGATGGTTAATGTTCCATAAGGTCATTGATAGCAGTTTGTCAGCTGACCAGCATTCTTCCTTAGAGCCATCTGAAATTTTACCTGTTCCATTAGCTTCCTAGGACAGACCATTAAAATAGGTTGCCATGCCCTGACAGGAAAGATGTGTCATAATGGAGAGCTCCATGACAAAGGTATAATTTCTATCCCTGTTGCTAATCCCAGTACATAAGATCCAGAACATGGCCAGATATGTTAATTGAGCTAGGTACCATCTAGACAGTCCCATAGCTGTCATGGGATATAAGATACATGAAATATATCATGAGTTCATAAACTAATCTGGGAGAGTCATCATATTGATGTTGAAGCCACCGAGACCCAATCAGTCCTGGTGACTCTAGTTCTTAAAGGTTGAATTGCCACTGTTATAGTGTCTGTAAGATATGGGAAAGGCAATATAACGACTTGGATGGATAACCAAATCGTCAGAGACCCAAAACGTATCCTGCTGTAATGTCATGACCGCGCACCGTGATGCCGACTTTCATCCGTATGTGATGAAATAGCTTCTTCACAACAACATGATGCTCGTTTTAGTACACAGACAGGCTGTTGTGCTGGTATGTAGTGACTCTCCCACTGAATTTCTCTTCTCTCTGCCTTCCTTATGCCCCATTGCCTTTGTCCTCTGACTAGAGGAAGGCCATAGGAACTCCCACACTGCTTCTGGTCTTTGCCTTGTGTTTCAGGGGGCTCTCCTGTAATCTGTGCTCCTCTTGCTTTGCCTGACTTTTGGCCAGAGTAAAAAGAGCACAATCCTATTTAGACTCTGCAAGAGCTGTGTGCAGGGACTGAAGGAGCCATGAGCTAAGTGGTGTTATACATTTGCCTGTTTCTAATGTATGTACTTAATACATTTCATGCTTAACCTTGCTTTACAATTGTTACATTTTTATTCTTAACTTTACTGTGTAATGTTTTTCAGACCTCCTTATGCTTTATAACCTTTACTCTTACAGCCCTTTCCTCACTCTCTAAGTACTTCAACCTTATGCAACTTCTGGCTCCACCATAACTTCCTTCAACTTCAGCACATTCAAAACTGGTAAGAATATCTTAATCCAAAAACACCACCACCTCACCCAAATGGTCAGGAACCTGTGTCTTAAACTTCAGCAAAGTTCTTACTTGCTTCCCAACTCACTAAATGTTTATCCCCTCCTAACCTGATCCACATCAAATATTACCTTGACTACAGAAACTTTTTGTGCCTTCTACTCCTCTCACTTTTGTGATTATTTCCTTTTGCTTTCCCTAAGTCCCTCCTAAGTCAAATTAAGATTTAGCTGTCATATTTTGAACAATCTCATCCCTCTCTGGAAGTTGGGAACATATGACCTTGAGTCTGAAATCTTCAGACTTCCTATCCATTTCAGAACTGAGTACAAAAATCTCTTCCTTCCTAGTATTCATGTCCCGTCAATACTACCCCTTCTCTTGCTGCATCTTTTCTCTTCATCCCATTCCTTGGACTCCTTGGATACTAGACCTCTTTCTACTCCCTGTAATGGGGTATATAGATCCTAACCTGGACAAGGACAGAGAGGGGTTAATGGCCTGTCCTGGAAACAGGTACTGAAATCTGTCCCACAGTACCTGGCAGAAGCATCAAACCTGAAAGTAGGGTCCTCCAGCTGTAGGAAATAATCGGGAAGGTAACAGCATATATAGATATGAGGATGGCTTTAGAAATGGGTTGTCCTGCCAACTGAGAGCATCCGAGGAACTGGATTTGCTAGGACTTCAGCCAGCCAGGGAGATGAGGGGTTTCCCTCCGGTGGAGAGAACCCATTTTAAAGACTGTTTTGACCACTCAGTGAGTGGAAGAAGCTGACTGTGGCTCCTTGAGGCAAGGGAAGGCCAACTATGGACTAGGTAATTTGCGGTGCGGGATGAGCTGACCTGGAGCACTGACTCTTGGTTAACTGGCTTAAATTGTGAAATTTAAATATAGAAACATGTCGTCTTTAAATTTCATCTCAGAATGTGTCTATATTTTTGACTCTTACGGCAGCCTCTTTGGGACTCTGCTAATGGATTATCTGAATACACTCCCCTCCTTGTATCACCACACCTGGGGCTGGCTCCTTCTCCATTGCCTCCATCTGCCCCCATCCCATGTATACATTATACTTTGAGTTCATTGTATTTGCATGTACAGGCTTCATAAAACATGGTGGGGGAAGGGAGGGGTTGGTTTTTTTGTTTGTTAGTTTGTTTTGGTGAACAGGGTATACCTTGGGCCTAATTCTTTACTCGGTGACTTAAGTTTTATCCTGTTGGAGGCAGATACCTGGCTTAATATGGCTCATCCCTTGAGCATTCTTTATCTGCCTTCCCACTGACCTTGTTTTTAAAATAATTATTTTTCCAGATGGTGTGACTTGCATTTTGGCACATTATTTATCTTGACATTGCATGTGACTTTTCCAGCCCTGGGTCTAAGTCACAGTGTTTCTATTTAACTATTTTGATCAGTTAGATCAATACACTTATAAACAAACAAACATTTAATTTTAGTGGGAAAATAAGTCTCGGGAATGAAACACCTGAATTACTTTGTTATTTGGATAACTTGCAAAGCAATTTGAAATTTGTTTCAGAGAGAGACTTTTGTATCCAATTTCAAAATAAGAGCAGAATATTTGTGGTGTATTTGGTTGCTTTTGGACAAATATAATTTTGAACCAAGTGAATGTCTGTCTCCTATTTGCATTGTGGCATTTTAAAAATACAGTTCAGTCATCCATATTCAAATAGTTCTCTTCCATAATTTGCCTTTTCTTATTTGACTGCCACAGTGCTGCCTGAATCCCTCCAAAAATAACTGCCCAAATTCCCTCTTACTCCCCCTTTTTAAATGTGTTTATTCATGTAACTGGATAATGGTCATTAGTGCTTCTATTGTCCTCTTCAAACTTTCTAGAAATCCTGTGCTTCCATTGGTATAGAAACTTTGGGTATAGACATTTCCACCACTTTCAAGGAAAGACAGCTTTTTAGCTGTTGTAACTGCATTTCTGTGTCGCTAGCCATATATTCTTTTACTGAGAAATAATTCAAGGATTGCCTACTTAGGTTTGTGGGTTTTTTGTTTTGTTTTTTTTTTTAAATGTGTAAGTCTTCCCTTTTGGTGTCCTGATAGATTTTCTCTGTACATATTTAATTTCTACAAAATTCTGGTTGAATATTTGGCATAGGGCCTACACTTAAAATGTCTAATTCCTTATCTTTTCAGCATTGCATGCAGCTTGGGTCTTTGGAAATCTAAATCACCTAACTGATAGAGCTACATTTCTAACTGCTCCAGAAATTAACTCTGAAGACTTTGTCACCTTCTTTAAAATTGCTGTAACTCAATGTTTAGCATGCTATGAAACTAAATGTTACTGCACACAGTGTATATAAATGAAGTAAGACCATGTCTTCCACTTTTCTTAAAACACTAATGTGAAATCTGCTGGCTTGGCTTTTATAAGCTCAAAACAGCACACAATTGTTTTGAGTAATTGTCCATGATCAGACATATCTGTATATAGCACTAAATGGTCTTTAATTATTTCAACGCAAATTGACATTAGTGAGTAGATAAGACTCATTTCATTTAGGTTGCCAAGACTTAATGTAATATATCCCAGGCTGTTGCATAATGATATTCTTCCTATTCTGGAAATATTAACCAATTGTGCTATTTTTAGGAACAATTGGAAACAGAGGGCATTAAATTGAAGCAAACTGAGGAAGAAAACACTCTAAAGGAAAATAAACTTGTATCTATTATTGCCATTAAAGAAGAAGAAATAAGGTTTCTAAAAAACAGATTAAAAGAAAAAAGTGAAGCACAGGATTGCATAAATATGCCAATATATGAAATGGAGGTAAGTAAATAAAATGAGACACCACACCTTTGCAAATAATTATGCTTATTTAAGATTTTGTTTATACAAATTACTCTGGTTAACAGATTTTAGATTACAACTGTATGTAAGTTGCTAAGAAAATTGTTAAAATATATACAGTAACACTAGCTGTAATGTTCCTTCAGTTAAGCCATAAAATACTTGAATCTTATTTTGTGTACCTTAATTATTCTTCATATTTTTATTTTAAATGGTTATACAATTAAATATTATTATATTGCTGGAGAAAAATTACATAGCTGTATTGTAGTTGGTCTTTACCGTTCAGACTCAAATAGCATATTATACCTAGCTTCAGTCTTCCATTTTTATCCCACTCTTTTTTGGTCAGATTTGGAGTTTCACTTACCAGGAAAAACATCCAGGGTAGAGCAGTGGTTTTCAATCTGTGATCCACAGACCCCTGCTGGACTGTAGACTATGTCTAAGATTTCCAAAAGAGTCTGCACCTCCATTCGCAATATTTTAGGGGTCCACAACTGAGAAAAGGTTGAAAACCACTGGGGTAGCCAATATTTAGTGAACAATTTACAGTCCATGTAATACTAGTGTAATCCACAAGGTGGTAGTCAAAGGTAACAACTTGTTTAAAAGCATGATAGATAATTTATCAGCCTTTAATCTGCTTGTTGAAAATTTTAGACAATTGATTTTTGGAATTTAAAATATATCAGTTCCTTAGAAATGAGCCTATGATCTGATACATGATTAAAACTGAATTGTAATACAATACAACTTCTGTGCATTAGCTTCCCTACCTATAAAGAGGAGGATAATGCTTACCCACATATTAAAGTCCTATGAGAGTCTCAAACATAGGCGCTGACTTCCGCTCTTTTCTGCGGGTACTTGACCCCCGCCCCTATTCCAACCCCTTGCCCAAATCCTGGCTTCGGCCCCGCCTCCTCCCCCCAGCCTGGAGTTTGCTAACACCGCCAAACAGCTGTTTGGCAGCTGGGCGGGAAACACTGGGAGGTAGGTGGAGGAGCAGCGATGGGGCATGCTCCGGGGGAAAGGAGGAGGGGACCTTAGCTGCCGGTGGGTGCAGAGCATCCTCTAATTTTTCCCCGTGGGTGCTCCAGCCCTGAGCACCCACAGAGTCGGCGCCTGTGGTCTCATATGAAAACTTCTGTATAAGGGCAAAATAGTGGCATTACCAAATTTGTACTAGAAGGGATTTTAAAATCAAAGAATGAAACATGAGATTTCTTGTACATTTGTTTTCTAAATGGCTTCTTGGGATACACATAAGATTAGTTGGTTCTGCTGATTGTTGAAGAATGTTGAGACATTTGTTAATCTACCTTTGTGTTAAATCCATGTAAATGTAAGAATCGAAATTCGTACACCAAAACAAGATCCCTAATCCCATGTTTTACTTTAAGATTAAACATACGAAGATTGCTCCAGCTAGACAGGATTTATCTCCAGGGATCCCTGGTATTTTAACTGTGCATGAAAGGTAAATAATTTTGCAGCATTTTTGTAAACAATGTTCACATTTGCTAAAAAGTAATAAGGCCAGCTGCTTCCCTCCCTTTTCACAATACAGAAAGAACAGAAAAGGGCCCAGAAGCAGCGTAGGGAGGGGAGCAGAGCCTGTGTGGCATGTGGATGCATAGCTGGTGTTCTGTGGATATTCAGGGATATATCAGGAGGAAGAAAAAACAACCACATGATGCAGCAGGAGTTTAAGCTCCATGGGAAATAGCTATGGATGTTAATGCTGGTTATTGTATCAGCCTTAACTCCTTTTGAGGGCGATCGTGCAGCCATGCTGGAATAACTAGTGCAGCATAGGAGGGCAGTGCTGCCAGGAGAGGGCTCAACAGATTGCACAAGGGACTAATCCTTCAACTTTATGGTTCCAAATCTGAGTGTTTGGGGCCAGGTTTAGCTATGGAGTCACTGCCCACAATGCAAAGGAGGCCTTGTGATCCCTGAATAATCAAAAGTAGGGCATCATAGAGGTGTATGACACTGAACCTTGCTGTATTTAATGAGTGAGTATTGCCCTTCTGCATGTTTTATGGTGAACGGGGTTGACCAGAGCCTTAGTAATATTCTCCTGTGAAAAGTGCAGACCTAAGGCAGGTTTTTACCAACCTTTGCTGAAGGATCATTTAGAAGGAGATTCTTAAAGGTGTCACATGGGGTGAGAAAAATGGCATTGTGCTTTTTGCTACTTTATTTTTTTTTCTAGATCTTATTTGAAGTGTCTAGTTTTTTGGTTTTTTTTTAAATTATTCCCACTTTTCTCCCCCTCCCACCTGAGCACATGTTCTTTACATTAAAATTCAGCTCTCGTATGCCCAGTTCTTCTTCTCTCCAGGCTATGCATGACTGAAGAATTTGCAGGATTATGACATGGCATCAGAGAGAAGCAAGTGAAATCTGACTGACTGAATAAAATATCTGTGGTATCAGACTATTTAAAGCTTTAAGTGGAGTTTGGGGTGTTTAACTACTAACGAACTGAAACACCTGAGAAACAGTTGGAATGAATACTAAAACCACTCACCAGCTGTCCTCATTCTTCTGAGTGAGTTCCTAATCCACATCTCTGTGTCCTCCAAGGGACACCTCCAGCAAAATAAGGAAGGTAGCACTTAATAGTCCAAACTGCAACAGGGTGAATAAAAACTCACAAAGAAAAACCTTTTGATAAAAGTAACAAAAAAACCCTGCGGCATAAAGAAGCAAAATAAGACACTAACCCTCTGTGTCTCTCCTCTACCCCACCTCAAATCTTCAGTTCACCTTTAACTAAAAGTCCTTTTTGCAAGATCTAGGAACTTATGCTTCATTAGTCTGCATGGTCTCATGTGCCTCAATTCAAGTATTTGTGATGCATAAGTAATCAGAATAATGTAATATGCCATGTTTTTCAAGAAGCCAAAAACTGCGCTTGTATGAAGAGCTATGTTTTCCATTCTTAGCGTGATTTTACTAAGTATTTGACAGCCATTTAGGAACCTGTGAAAGGCCCTAAGGGGGAAAAAAAGCAAGAGGAAAAAAGCTAGGATGTGGGTTGTGCAGAAGGGAATGGCAACAGACGCCATGTCTACACTACACAACTTTAGTGGCATGGCTGTGTTGCTACAGCCATGCTGCTAAAAGTCGTGCTGTGTAGCCGCTGTTTGTTGGTTCTCCTGCTGACAAAAAACTTCCACCCGCAACGAGCAGCGTTAGCATTGTCCGCAGGAGAGTGCTCCTGCCGACAAAGCGTTGTTCACACTGGCGCTTGTCACCCACAAAACTTTTTTGTCTTTCAAGGGTGTGTGGTTTTTTGTTTTGTTTTTAAACACCTCTGAAAGACAAAAGTTTTGTCGTTCAATTGCCAATGTAGACGTGGCCTAAGTGAGGAGTTCTCCAGCCCGCTGCAAAAATGTCACATAAAGCAAGGAGAGGAGGGAGCCAGGGAGCAGCTGCTTTTGCATAGCATATTTCCTTTCTTGCATGGACTAAAGCCCACAGCAAAAATGGGAAATAATGTATGTTCACAACAGCATCAGCTAATTTCTCTGGACTGGCCCTCGCATGAACACAGAAGCACTATAATTGCCAAGGATGTGTTGTACTGCCAGTGCTGGAGGGAACTCAGTGAAACATGAAAGGTCTGTGGCTCACATTTCCTTTGAATCCCTGGCCTATAAAGGTTTATTTCTCCATTCCATCACTTCCATGCAGGGGGCCTATGCATGTGATATGACCAAACAGCTACATATTTCATCATGTTTGACTACTTTCTTCCCTTCCATTTGCTTTTGCAAAGGAGTGTGTGTGTGTGTGCGCACACACACACCTTAAGGAGAAGACTACCAGCTAAATGTTTCTGGTGGTCAACACGATCTCTGGCTTACAGTTGTGGAATATTATTATTATTTTTTTTTTTTTAATTCAAGGTCATGAAAGAGCTGAACCTACTGACACTTTTTGATTTAAAATATTGAACTTTTAGGGAAGATCTAGAGATGGTTTTCCAGGAGATGAAGGAAGAATGTCATCGAATATGCACACTAGCAAGAAAGCAAACAGACCAACTCAGTAAACTTAACATAAAGAGAGAACCTGTAAATGGTAACATCTTCCTTTAGCTCTTATTGTGATTCAACTGTTTGAAAGCTTTGCTTTATATTTGAAAATACTGTAAATTACACATACATTGAAAGTACTTCCACTATTTACCATCTGCTTCTTTCAAGTCTGCTCACGTGGTGCTCTGCAGTTCACTAAGAAAATGCACCATGAGTTTTGGAATTGTATGAGGAACATTCCAAATTACATGTGTAAGAGGCAGTCACCATGTAAGAGACTTCTTTTTTTGTCCCTTGAAGTAGATCATTGGCTCTCACTCAGTCTGATGCCCCAGCATGCTCTGAGTGACGGTACTTTTTGTTTTTTATTTAGCTCTGTTTATAAAAATGCCTGTTATGAATATTTCTAGCCTCACATTTGTCAAAGAAGGCTGCTGGCATGTGGAGAGGTAGAGGACTTTAAGACAAAGTGCCTTGTGCAGACTTGAAACGCCCTTTTTTTTTTTTAATTTATTTAGTTATTTATTTATTATACAGACTAAAGGTCCAACTCTCACCAAAATCAGTGGAAAAACTGACTTCAGCGAGAACTGGACTAGGTCCTATGAGCCTGATCCTGCTAACACTTATACTGGACATAGTACATAATACTTGAAGTAGTTTCATTAGCTTTTGCATACTATAAGACAGCAGGATCAGGTCCCGATAGGGTTTTATAGACCGCTTTTCAAGCCCTCACAAAAAAAAATTTACTTTACTCTTCCAGCTCCCTGCAGATGTCTCCAATACATATTGACAAACTAGATGTTACAACTTCATATGAAATAAGAGCTAGTGGTCCATGACTTCAAGGGGGAGAAAGGGTACATGAAAGTTGATCTTTTATTTATGTGCCAAATGTGCCCCTCTTATCTCTGATTTGGGGCACTCAGCAAGTTATTCCAAAGTTGATGTTTTGTCTTTTCTTGAGGCAAGTACAATGAAGTGCTGATCAAGACTGTGAGATATATTTATTAATAACGTGACTTCCAGTCCTAATAAGTAGTACACTGGACTCCCTTAAAACTTGTATTCACTGTCTAACTGTTAAACGGTAACCATACTTGTGATAATTTCTCATAGATAACAATTAAAAAGATAAAATTTTAATGGTACCCACTTATTGCTCTACTCAGCTGAAATCAATATGTACAAGTATCTACTTCAGCTATACCTGGACATCAAATGCTGAAAAAAATACTGAAAGAGTCTAAAGTTATGCTCCTAAATCCATATTTTAAAACGTAAATAGGGGACCTGATATTCCAAAGTTCTGGGTATCTGTCAAGCTGCTTCCAGTTAATTAATAGATGCCTGTGAAATTGATTTCTGAGGGTTTTTTTGACAGTACATTATTATTGTGTATTGTTTATTCTATATAAACAATACTATGTCCCCTTTTTGCATTAAAAGATTCTCTGCCTCATTCAGGAAGAGACAAGTTGGGTGAGGTAATATCTTTTATTGGCCCAACTTCTGTTGGTGAGAGAGATGAGCTTTTGACCACACTGAGCTCTTCCCCAGACCTGAAGATGAGCTGTGGGTAGCTGAAAAGCAGAAGTTGGCCCAATAGAAAGATATTACCTCACCAAATTTGTGTGTCTCATATCCTGGGACCAACATGACTATACCTGGTTTTAGAAGGGGCAAATTCACCCTATAATTTTAAAAAATATATATCTGCAGCATAGAAAGCAGTAGACTTACCATGCCGGTTTCTGCCTGTGAATTTATATGGCGTCTATCACCATAGATTGGAGCGATTTCAGGAGGACTTTGCATACATGAAATATATAGTAAAACTATTCCCCAACTTGATTAGAAGTAATATGTAGATTATTATTTGTAGTTCTCGAATGCACTGAGAGCTCTCAAACACAGAGGAAGACCATCCCTACTGTGAAGGTCTATTCACTTCAAATACTTTGGGACTACAGTGCCTAGCACACTGTTGGCACTCCGTAAAACAATATCTTGAGTTGCAACAGCTGCCAGAACACTGTAGTAAATGTACGTGAGTGTGTGTTGAGAATATGGGGCAATCTAAGAGGGATAGAATTGTTAGAATAAATTAATCAAGCTCTGTTATTTCACGTTCTGGTTTTTTTGCCCTGAGGCTATCCTTCTTTAATGGGATGATAGGGGGAGCATCCCTCAAATTATTGGCTTCAGGAAAATATTCTAAAAAAATCAAGAAAGAGAATCAAGAAAAATAACTGATCCACACATCTGTGCTTTAACAATTACTTTGAAATATTCCCATAGATGGCGTCTGACAATTTCCTTTTTCCCCCCTTTACAGAAATTCCGTTTTCCATGCCTATTCAGTGTACTGATAAAACTGATGAACAAGCAGAAGAACTTTTTAAACCTCAGGTTAAACCAGATATAAATAGAGGTGTATCATGCACAACATCTATCACACCAAGAGGAGTGGGCCAAGATGAGGAAGACAACTCTGTAGAATCACTTTCTAAATTGAATGTCAAGTTTCCACCTACAGACAATGACTCTACTTTCTTACAGAGCACTCCAGATAAACCAACAGTTCCTTGTACTGCAATAGCTGAAAATATACTTCAAGATCATCATTTTAACATGAAGCATGAAGACCATACTATGAACTGGAGTAAATTGGAATGTAACCCATTTGAAACTCATGGAGTTGACCCCATAACTATGCAAAACCTAACTACACTTGACAAAACAAAACCCCCAAGCCATACAACCATGCTCAAACAGAATACTCAGGACAAAACACCATGTTTGAAAACAGCAGACATTGGTACGAAACTTGTATATCCGTACACAAATCAAGATGCCATTGAATTAAATTTTCCCTCTTCAGAGGCCACTGGGAGGGCTGTCAGAGGACCTCAGCAGGTATCTTTATATTGATATTGTATATTTTAAAGGTTAATATTTCATTTAAACAAGTGCCGTGCAAAGGTCTTTCAGGCAGGAATGAAACCTATATGAATCACACCATTTTTATGGTGAACATTTGACTTTTATGTAGATCTGCTTTCTGACACTAAATTTGTGTACATTAACTACATTTTCAGTGAAATAATGGAGGGATTTAAATTAGATTTAAGAATATAGATGTTGGCACAAATTTCACTTCAGGAAGATATTAAGTAACTGTTTCTGTATCCATTGCAAAATTGATTTTAATCACAACTATCCAAAAATTCTCTTTACCCAGGTATTTATTCCATAGAATCAAATAGTGTGCATCTCTATACTTTTTAAAAATGTACAACTGAACATTTGGGCATGTGCTATTTTTAAAAAATACCAGATAGATGATATTTTTTTTCCCCTGAAGGAATTATCTTTAGATCTAATGAGGGACAAACACAGAACAACTTAAAAGGGATAAAATACTTTAGAAGTACTTGTAGAATAGGAAAATATGTATTTCCACAAATAGTCATAAATGGAAACCTAAAGAAATACAGGCAAATGTATATCTACTTTTTAAGTAGACGCTTGAGGTGTGATTTTTTTTTTTTTTTCAGAAGTATGAACGTCCAGAACTCCAGCTGAATTCAGCGTGAGCTGTAGATGCTCGGTGTCCCTGAAAATAAGGCCCTTTGGCCAAATTCAGCAAAACAATTGTGTGTGTGTGAGTCCCATTGAGTGCTCTGCTTAATCAGAGCCTTTGGATGACATCCTGGTTCCATTGAAGTCAGTGGCAAAACTTCCATTGGCTTTAGTAGGGCCAGGATTTCACTTTTTGTCTCTTTCTCGTAGGAGGGAGCATTACCCAAAGGCTAGAGCAGATACTGATATTTAGAATTTTTGCACTTTCTTCTCCGCTCTTCCAGTTATTCCCTTTGACCTTGGGCAAATTGCCTTAACTGCTCTGTGCCTCAACTTTGCCTTTAAAATAAGGAAAAGAGGAGCTGTGAGGCTAAAATAACATTTACCTTGCTCTAGAGATCCTCAGATGCTGTAGATGTATTATTAAAACTGACCCAGCCTCGTTCTACTGTCTACCATAGTCTTAAATTTAATTTCTGAAAATTTTTGGCAGCAAATCCGAGATTTGTAGTGCTGATTTACATAATTTTATTTTTTTTAATTGCCATAGATTCATTGTTCAAAGTGTATGATTATATTTTCAATATATTGTTTGTGCTGTGGTAGATTTTAATTTTATCCTGAATTATTAATTACATACTCCTTTTTATTGTACTTTATTTTCTTCCAAATTCTCAGTTATAGTTGGGACTGAGTACAAGACATTAAACAACTTTTTATTACGTAGAATTCCTTGTTTTTTCCCCCTTTTTCTCCATTATCTCTCCTGCTTGTTCTTTTACTAGCTAGTCTGTGAATTCATTTTTCAATAGATGGCACCCTGCATTGTATATTACAGTAAGTGAAACAGCTGGTGTGTGATTAAAAGTTGATAGGGAAGTATGCAGCTTTAAAAGTGCAGGAGAGTTGGTGGACAAGAGAGCATAGGGTTAGATAATTGGTATTTGTGAAAAATAAGGAAATTACTTTAGTTTGAGGGTATCATTTTAGAATGTGAATGACCAATACTACAGCTCTATGGGGAGATTTTAATATCGAATGTTACATTTCAAAAGAAAACTGGCAATACAAAATAGTTTCAATATTTAGAAGTCATATCCATGTAGCAAAGTAGAACATAAGGACATTGATTAAAATGTTGCATCTTATCCAGAAGTTTATTTGACAGAAGCCAATATTACTTTAGAATCCATTAAATATACATGTGTGTATATTTAAATAAAGGTGATGTATATTTACTTAACTGCTTCCAAAATGTTTTGGGTGAATTGAATTGATCTGTTGTCTTTTTACTGATCATAGGGTTAGAGATTTGCTCTTAGCTGAGTTCAAGTACTGAAGTATTATCCAGTTAGATTAATACAACTTTGGCAAAACTTAGGGGTGTAATTCTCTTCACTGGTGTAGCTGCAGCAGTTGTGCTCTAGTTTAGACAGTGCCCAGATCTTTTTCACCACCTTGTCGTAGAGGGACTAGTAGTAAACATCCAAGCCCTGTCGACACCTGTGCTGAGTACTGGGCAGCCTGCCTGTGCCCTGTCTATAGTTGCTACTGGTAGCGCTCCAAGAGTGGTGAATTACATGCTGGATTTTTTTTGCCCCTAGTATAGACTAGGACTTTGTCATAGTTACCATATATCTTAACTCCTAAGATACAATATATTTGGCAACAATGAACCTCTGGAGCTGTTGCTCTCAGTTTATGTGGTAAATTTAGCTTTCCTGTTTTATGGATATTAAATGGAAAACTCAGTGCTGTTTCCTTAGGGTACAGGGCTGCACAGAGATTTTGGAGGCCTGGGACAAAATCTGAAGCAGTCTCCCCTTCCCTTCCCTTGTCCTGTGGGGCTGGCTACCCACCCTGGGCATTGTGAGCTGCTACACAGGGTCACAGTGCCAAATCTGAGTGGCACTGCAACCCCATGCGCCCGGTCACAATGCCACTCAGTTTAGGGGGCACCCTGCAAACAGTCCCTTTTCCTCTCCTCTCCTCCTCCCTTTTCTCCATCTGGGTGGCCCTGTTAGGATATAGTACCTCTTTGAAAACAATGTGATTGAAACGTGGCAGATTACAATAAACATGCATCTTACTGGACCTAAGACTTTACAGATTTATAGTTAACTGTGTTTGTACATATATGCATACCTTTACAACTTAAGGTCTGATTCCTCAAATATTAATTATTGATGCAGTGCTTTATTTAGTGGGACTGCCAACCCTAGCGAGGCCACAATTCAGAAAACCATTTAAAATGCATAACGTTAAGCACATGAATAGTCCATTGACTGTAATGGGACTGCTATTGCTTGAAGACAGTTAAATAGATGCTTAAGGTCCCAATTCAGCATAATGCTTAAGCATCTCCTTAAATCTGTCCCTATTCAGGGAAACACTTAAGCACATGCTTAAGTCCCCAAGAAGTCTGTGGTATTAAGTGTTTTTCTGGATTGGTACCTAAGCCTGGTAGTTCCAGATTGTAAGAGTAGAACCTTATTTAGTCCCCAATACATTTCAGCAAATTTTACAAGAACCTTTTTGGCCACTTTAAATATCATGCCTCTTTATATGGTTATTAAAAATGCCAGTTTATTCAAGGTGGTGTTGCAAGTGAGTAACCACAAACACACTCCTATAGGAATATTTAAAAGTATGTTAGTGTCTAGACAAATTTCATATGCAACTTACATCAACTACCCATGATATACAATCCATAGATTGTATTGCAGAAGAAACTGATGTAATTTCTAATGAACAACAGCCCCCTGAAATGCTAAACCTTGTTTAGGAAGGGAATTAACTCCTAAAAGAAACTGCATCTGGTTTAGAAATAAGAACTAACCACTGTGAAAGCCAGGTTGGTAGCACAGTTTGTTGCCACTGGAGGATTAAGCACCTGCTTTTTAGCCTGGCAAAGTTTGGGAACACGAAAATTGAAGCTCTTTTATGGGGATGGACAGCAAGAGACTTAACTTCAAGGGAAACTGCTTGCCTTTCTACTGCCAAAATACTCTTAACCTCATGTATGCACAGAAGGGAATAGCAAAAAGACTGTAGCAATCTCTCCTGGGTTGTGCCCCCTCCTGCCACTTACTTGCTGCCATTCAGTTTGAGTGCACTTTGGCTTATAACTTGATGCCAAGTAGGAAGAAGAAGCAGAGACTCGGACACTTCAGGCCACACAGTCTTTGTGATGAAGAAATGAGGATTGCAAAGGGAGGTTAAGGATTAATTTAATTTCATTATTGTAATATTAGCAACAGATAAAAGGTAAAATATAAATTACCCTACATTGCCAGGGAGATTGCTTTCTGATTAAATTGAAAACTAGATACGTTCCAATAGGGGGAATGTAAAATAAAATCTGCCTCATGTTAAACGTCTTATATAGTAAACCTATGCTGTACTCTAATGTAAAATGTATATTGCTTTTTTTCTAAAAAGGGCAATATTATCTGTACAGGAATGTTTATACAGTATCTCAGTACAGAGACTACAGATGCCATGGTTTAGTTTCCTACAGTGAAATATTTGAAGAGTCCATAAAAAGCCTTAGTATTTATTACACTGACATTGTTGATAAAGGAAGCTTTAGTTGATTCTCATGAGTGTTTTTTAAAATCTTACTTCTATTCTTGTATTTGACACAGTGTTTGCAGATGTAAATGTATAAATGCTTAGTTTCCTTCTGATTCTTTTACTTTGCCAAAATGTGAAGTCTTTTCTTGATTTTAATGTAATGAGAACCAGAGATGCCATTTTTGTTATTAAAATATATCACGTACGTACAAAATCTAACTAGTGGAAAACAAATGCTGGTAACTTTTATATTTAGAACTGTATTCATTTAAAACACAAATAAATAACTTTTTTGCCTTTTTTTTTTTTTCCAGCCCTTCTGGAAGCCATATCACACTCAAGATAATAACTTACTGGCACAAGGTTATACAGACTCAGAACTGAAGCAGTCTGGAATATGTGAATTCTGTCAAAAAGTTTTCCCACCATCTACTACATCCAGGGGGGATTTTCTCAGGCATCTTAATTCACACTTTAAAGAACAATCAATGTATCCGGAAGCAAGCTGAATAAGACTTGTAGAGATACTGGGTTACACTTTTGTATATTTTTAATTCATGTGTGTATGTTAACTTCAGAATTAAGACTATGTTCATAATGATGTCGCTGAAACTGTTTTTTAGTTAAGTTCATTTCATTTTTTTAAAATTACATTTAACGTTTGTAATTTTACATATTTAAGTTAGCCCATAGAAAACTGTAATTCAGTTTCACTTCAGTATGTCATGTTGCAATATGATCTTTGGGCCTGATCCTACAAACCTTTTCTTACGCAAGTTATCTTCACCTGAGTAGTCCCACAATAATTAATGACTACTTATGTAAGTAAGGACTACTTGCATGAGTACATGTTTGCAGAACTTGGCCTTTAATTTGGGGAGATAGTGTGAGCAGTCCTATCCATTTTCCTCAGTGCCCTCGGGCCTGATCCTACTCCTATTGTAGTAAATAGAAGCAGGAACAGGCCCCAAGAACATCTGAAGGGCGAGGGCGGAATGTCTAAATTTGACTTAAGACAGGTTCAGTGTTGTATTTTTATTGCAGATAAGGTTCTTATAAAACCACTAGAGCAGCCAAGTAACAGGTATGTCATACTTAAGATACATTTGTCTTTTGTTTACACTGATCTCTGCCAATGATGTGATAAACAGATTTGTCTCAGATACAAAACAATACTCGCTCTCTGGCTAAAATGAAGATAGCAATGGTATGTATCTTTGGCAGAGGTGCACTATTAAATAATGTATATTGTTAGCATCCATAGCTCATGGAAAATACCTGTTCCTCTGTGGGAGCTGACGCATGCTTTTACATAGAGAGAAGATGAGATGAACCAGGTTACGCTTTCCCCTAAAACTACAAGTTGAAAAGATAATTTAGCATTTCTTGTGGTTCCCTACTGACTGTGTTACTCAACCACAAGGGAATTTTTTAAAAAATTGAACAAAAGTCTTCACTTCAAAATACTCTCTTAAACTAGAAATCACTTTTAAACTATAATTTAAATTTTGATGGCTGTGTGTGTGTATTTTATGAATGCTAGATCAGCTAGCTTGCATTTTGTTTTTAAACAGTTGACTTGCAAGGATCTCTTCCAAGAGAGCTGTCTGCACTTAAGTCTGGACTGGAACTGTTCAGTCAAAGTGGTTGTTAGCATTAATATATTTTCTATAGCTACAGGTAAGCAAGGCCCTAACTTCTCTCTTTTCAAAGATTTATGGGGTGAGGGTCACCATTTTACAAAGCTAAAGGGAAATATAAATCTTGCATCGTTTTTAGAAGTGGATTTTTAAGTCACTGGAGAATGCTCTTACACTAAACGTTTTTCTACAACTATTTACTGTAGTTTTAAGTGCCTGCTGTGTATGTGACTAGCTGTTGGCTGCTGATGTACTGTAATAAAGTACAGGGTACAGTGCTTGTCTGTTCGTGTGACCTGGAGAGTGCGTTTGTTACCATAATAGCGTTAAAACCCCTTTTCCTTCGTACCTCCATGGATGGAAGGGTTTGAGGCAGGCACGTCTTTGGGCGCAGTGGGGCAGGTGAAGTTCCCGTCCAGTTATCGCTGGGAGGTGAGCGCTGCTGGGGGTGGTACTTAGTGTGGGGGAGATAGGGGGAGGGAATCGCTCTCCAAAATAGGCTGACACCCAACTGCCTTGTCCTCTGGCCCGTAAAAAGCAAGACCCACAGCTCACATTGGCTCATATTACCTTTTAATCCCTGCCACCTTTTTTGCGCGTGCCTGCGTTTTCCCTCTCCTGCTCCGAGCCGAAGAGTGTCCGCCCAGGGGCCAGAGCTCTCCTCTGTGCACAGCAGGGGTGGCAGGCCTAGCAACGCCCCTTCCCTCTCCTGGAGGAAGAAGCCAAAGAGGGGGAGTCCTAATCCACCTTGCCTATCAGCCTCGGGGGCCTGACTCCGACAAGAGTTAAATCTGCATTTCAAACACTCCTGCCTGAGGGGCGCCACGTCCAGGGCAGCGAGCGGTGCCCGGACCACAGCAAGGGGCTGCAAGCATCCATTTAAAACCCCACCACCCTCAAAGCACACCCTGGCCAGCTGCGAGCCGCTTGGAGCAGCGGGAGGTGAGGGCGCCGCTCTCGCGCTGCGCTCCTGGGGGAGGGGGCGGCGGCTCACGGACATCGGCTTTACTACGCTCCGCACCAGAGCAGGTTCCGTTGCAGCGATTTCTCCTCTCCCCCGTTTAACGCAGCAGCGGAGGCTGAGGCCGCAGGGGAAGTGCATTAAGAACCCATCACGGGTGGGAGGAAGGAAGCAGAATGAGGGCAGGAGCAGCAGGTTGGTGCCAAGGTGCTGCTTTCCTCCCTCTCTCTACTTCCTGCCGGGCTAGAAGCGTGAGCCGAGTCCCCGCCAGCCCTGGCGCTGCAGAGGCTTACAAGCCTCCACTGCTGTCTCGCTTGCAGTCCTCTGCCCCGCAGGGAGGGCGGTAGGTGGCAACGAACGCACATGTTCAGAGCCAGCAGCCCGTGAAGGTCTTAGTGGGTCTGACCTCCACCCAGGCAGGGTGTTTCCCCGGCCTCTGCCGAGAGGTCTCCCCTGGGGGTAGCGTTGGTGCAGGGGGTGCCTGGTGCTGGCGGCCCGGCAGAACACATGTAGCTCCTCTGCCTCGCGGCTACCGCGACAGCTGCGTGTAGCTCCAGTCATTCGCCTGTCATGGCAGTGCTCGGTAGAGGAGAGGAAAACACGCCTGTGGCAGATCCTCCGAGTCCTCCCCTGTGTGATTGCTGAGAGAGATTCGGGACATTAATTGAGGTCTCTTAGCTCTGGAATCAGTCCCCTCTGCCACACTCCAGTGGGAGCTGTCCCCCCCGTCCCCCCCACAGATGTCAGCTCATTCGAGGAGTCTCAGATGAAGCTAAACTCTTTCTCCCTCCGTGCAGAAGAGAGTCTCCAAATGGCCACTGGACTTTCAAACTCCCCTCCCCATGCCACAAAAGTAACTAAACTGAGGCAATGCTACTGCCCCCCCCCATTAATTGAGCCGGTGTGCCATTCAAAGTATCCTCTCCCCCCCACACACACACACTCTCTCTCCACGGTGAATTCAGAGGCGACTCGGGAGAAGCTGGTCCCTCAGTAGAAAAGGGCACTAGAGGCTCAAACGAAGCTATTCCTCTCTCCCACCCATGGTGAGCTCAGCAGCTGGGGCTCAGAGGAAGCTCTGTCTCTTTCCCTCCCTGCCGAACATCCTCCTTTCCCCCGCAACCCGACAAGGTTAACTCAGCAGAGGAGTTTCAATCCAAATGGCAACTGGGATTGCATTAAAAAAAAAAACTGGAATAAGGGGGAGAGAAAAAAATCAGAAATAGGGAAAGAAAAGAGAAAAAGCAGCAGGCTGATTACGAGGTGTCAAAACTGCCAGGAGCAAGAAGGTGATAGCAATCAGGGGTGAGAAGAGTGCGCCATTCGTGCGGGGCAGCTAATTATCCGTCTCATTTGAGAAGAGCAGCATTCGAGGCAGCAGCGTTCGCCTGCTGAACGGTGACAGATTGGCGCGGAGGAGAGGGGAGGTGTTAAAACAATGGAGCCGGGCTTGCGAGCGCTTCTGCATGCTAATCAGCCCGGCCTCCTTCCTCCCTCCGCCCGCCCGCCTGCCGCGATCCCTCCTTCCCGCCCGCCGCATGGCAAGCCCAGGGCCCTCCGCAACCACACCACGCGCGCGCCGTGCCTATCGCCTGCAAGTCGGCCCGACCCCCCGGGGGCACCCAGCTCCCGCTGGCCCGGCCTTCCTCACACAGGCCGGCGTGTGGGGCAGTCCCCTGGCAGTGCCCGCTCCCCTCCCAGCCCCGGGATAGGCTGGACCCGTTAGTTCCTGGCAGTGTAGCGGGCCGAGGAGTCAGAGAAGAGGTGCCCAGGCGGGAGAAGCGCACGGCCGCGCTCTGTTACTGGGGCTCCAGCCTCTGCCGCTCCCGACCCGGGGGATCCCTGCTGTCTTTGTGTCTCGCTGGTCGGCTCCGGCAGATCAGCAGCCCGCCCCGGCTCTCCTTGAGCCCAGCCTCGTGCCTTGCAGACCGCTCGGCCTTGCAAGCCTGAAGCGCGGCACATGCCGGTCCCGCTCGCTGGCTGCGAGGAGGCACAAAGGGAGGTGGCCTTCGAGTGGGGTACAAGGTGCTCAGGTCTACATTGCTTTACATGCGCGCACCGCGTCCCTGCGCGGGAAGCCGCCCACCCCACTCCAGGCTGGGGGAAGACGCTGTCTGCCCAGGCCCTGCTCGGCCTTGCTCACTGCCCCCCACTTCCAGCACCCCGGGACTTCACCAAGGCAGCTCCGAGAGCGGTAGCATCTGCACCACTGGTACAGCTAAATGCGCCATATTCCTAGTGTGAGGCAGAAGAATGAGCGTTGGATTGTTTACTGTCAAATGTTTCTCAGTTTCTATTCCATCCTGCCCCTAAAGATTTTGATTACTATACACTTCTCCTTAACATTAAAATATTATTTATTACAGATTTACACAAACTGGATGTTTTTATGTTAAGGGAATAACATATTGATGCTGTATTACTTGCAGGAGTGTATATGAACGATGTAATTTCTGCATTAAGAGGGAGAAGGTGGTTCCTAATAATACACACCCCTTGTTCTCTGGCACAGACAGGAGAAATACCTACAGGAGGATTTTGTTCAGAATACTAGCTAATCCCAAAGTCAGCCCACCACCCGGTTCCTGAGCCTGTCGTGGTTTACCGAAATCCACTAGCCACACGTCTCGGTTTAGTTTAAAACCTCTCCTTTACAAGAGATATTTAAAACCATTTTGGTGTGCCTTACCAGGGGATTTGGAGGTTAAGCAAACAAAGAAAAGTGCTAGTTTTAGGCCTGTGATGAAGACCGTGCTAATCCAGGTTGAACACTACTTTCGATAGCTTTTTAATTGTTTTCAAATATGTATATAGCTAGTTATTGTTGTTGTTTTTTTAAATGATGCTACGCCTTTATTTGAGACTATTTGATGAGACTTTCCATGAGCATACAGATGGTGAGACTTTCATGCGTCTGTGGCTTTCTGACATCCCAGGCTGCAAAATCAATTCTCCAGATCGCTACAATACGCAGGGTGCGGAGAAGTCTAGTACCTCGCGATGCTCAGCATTAGATTTCTTTACATTTTTAGAAATGTTAAAAACGCTAGGTGCACAGTTTTGTATATGTAAATAATACTGACCTCCTGGATACACAAATAGGGGGAGACATTCATGTTAACCTTTGTGCCCTTTGCTAAGTAGGAGATTGTTCATCTTTGCTTCTGAATCTAGCGATGGGGGATGAAATCTCGGCTCTCTTTATAGTTTATCTACATGGAATTTTTGTAAAAAATATTTGCACACAAGGAGACAAAGATGAACTGATATTTGATCCCTAGTGGAAACTGGTTAAGTTCCCTGAACATATGGCTTATTGGGCTGTTGCTTCCTTTGACATAATTTTCCAAGATTGTTTAACATATACATCATCATATGATACACATATTGGCCGGAAAGAGGAATGCTGAGACTGTGGGTTCCACCCTGGCTATCATATTAATCACTTCTTTCATGCCTAAGAATGTTCAGTGGGGACTAACCTTACCTACAGAAGTGCATTGCATTTCTCCAGCTATTTCACTGGGAAAGAAAATCAACGAGCAGTGATTACACTTGTTTGGTTACTATCTGCCCAGAAAATAAAGGCGAAGAGTGCTCTGATTTAGAAGGGATTCTGAAAACTGGCCGAATTACAGATTTATGTAACAGGGTGACATGGTGAAAGTGAACTAAAACGGAAACATTTTGCAGAGACAAGTATATACGTTCAAAAAGGTTATAAATGTTCAGTTGGTGAAGAGAACCACGTACTTGTAAAAACGTGTGTGTTTCCGTTATGCTTAATTTGCCAATCCGAACAAGTTTTTCTTAATAAGCTCTATTGTTTCTTTCTGTTTTGTGAAATTTAATATGTGTGAGACAGAAGGCAGACGCGGAATGCGAATGAAGTCTTTTTGTTTGTTTTGTTTGTTTTACCACTTTCTTTATAAAGATCTATAGGTAAAGGGGATGTATAGAAGAAAAGTGGCGTGACATTTCTGAGGTCACGAGCTGAAAACGTTAAATGTGAATCTCACCTGCTAGCTTTTTCTCTGTATCTGATTGCAATACAAAATCTCGCTAAGCAAAACAGTCGCTGGCTAGCAATTAGACTTTACTCTTAGCAGGGACACGGAGGCTTTGTTAGGGTTTCATTGTTTGAATGTAGTTCATTAAAATACTTTAATAGGAGTCTCGTTGTTTTAAAATCCCCGCACTATCACCCACATACAAACATCTATATTATTCCATCCTGCCGTGTCAAAAGTACAGTCTCTTAGGGCAAAAGGTTATGGAACCTTCATAAAGATTCACACTTGTTATCTGGTCATCCTAGTCAGCAAAC